AATATGCCACACCTACAACGTCTCTAATTGGACCAATGACAGACGTCACTTCAGAGCCGCCTCTCCATTGGCTGAAGTTCAGCGCTAACGCTACGTTAGCATCGCAGCTGTTTGCGGTGAACGCGGTGAGTTAATATTTGTTTAAAATGAATTTTCCGCTCATTCGCGCGGATTAAACATTAAACAACACGATCGTGAACGTGTTCAACATCTTCCCGAGTCACGTTCAAACTGCTCACTCCGTAAAATGTAGGAACAAAGCTCAAGATGCTAGCAGAGCGTTAGCTAATGTGGCTAAAAACGTTAGCTCGTAAGAAGCCTAGTTTAGCTAAGTTATGAACAAACGTACTGTTCGTTCACTTCCTGGTGTTTTAAGTCTTGAAAAGTGGTTTTAAATGTTTCTTTAATTTTATTTGAGAATGTGTGGTGGCTAATATTAATGATTATTACCACTGTTAATGTTAATTAGTAGTACTTCTATTAGTTTGGTCGTAGTTTTAATTGTAAGATAAAACTTTATTGATCCAGACACTGGATACGTTGAGTTGTTGCAGCAGCGAGTCAGACTGAGGTAGACAAGAGAATTCAAAAGATAAAAAATAAAGTGAAAGATGCTGAGAATGCACATTGAATAACCCTTCACTGTCGTGCTTTGAGTAGAAATGTTATAAAGTGCAGTGGAACGGGATGATTGCACGAGCAAGTAGAAAAACAGTTTGCACATGAATATCAGGACATATTGTGACGACACTCATCAAAAAGTTCGTTACCATTAGAAACAGTGTAAAGTTAGAGGCTCTCCGCAGGTTGTTCTACGTCACTGAGACCAGATTCCAGATGCCTGAGTGGAACAAACAAGTTGAACAAACGTTTCGTCTCATTTTCTGCTCAGGAGAAACAAACCAATATTATTCATGGACTGACTGACGCATAATTACAAGTTTGAGAAATATTCAGAGAATAGAAACTCTTTTCATTTTCTACACTGGAAGTAGAAAATGGAGAACCTACAAACCACAGTGAATGTTTCAGTTCAGTTTTTGTTGTGTGCCCCGGCACCAGATGATACTAGTGCACCATTGAAAAATTAAACTTAAAAATATATTACCTCCATCTGTGCTTTACAAAGTTAGAAGAGGCAGACAGATTTAAACGATCAGTTCACACAGACTGCCTTTTCTGTGGTGCAGCAGTTAAGCAGCTTTTTAAAAACCAACATAATCACTCGGAGGACAAGAAAATGGAGTTTTAAGTACTAAAAGATATTTTTAAATCCTGTGAAAAGATATAATATAATGTCTCATTATAATATGTTGTCTTACCCTGTGTGCATAGACACACTGAGAGCAGGGGGAGGAGGATGGACAGGATCCTCGTGGACATTTCAAACTACAGAAGCTGACGAGTCTTTGGATATTTATCGGTAAGCGCATCACCTTAAAATGTCCCAACCATTAACTGCATTGTCCACATGTCATGTTTCACTTTGGATTTTATCTGGATAAAACTGTGGCTCACAGGTTTTTTTTATAGGTTGTTGCTGTTGCAGAAATAAAGACAGAGAAGATACGAGCTCACAGGCACAACATTTATTTCTGACCAATGTTTTCAATAGTTGCACAATTACAAACTTTTAAATCAATAAATAACCCTAAACAGTGAAATTTAATAAATTAATTTGTGCTCTTTATCAGTACAAACACATGACACTATTCATAATGTTGTTTACTGTAACTTGTAAATAAACCTTCTAATAAATACATGAATGCTTCTCTCAGCACAATTCAATTAAACTAATAAATATTTTAACTCACCCAAACAAAAATAATTAAAAGAAACTAATAACTAACTAACTTTTTTAGACATTTTGTTTCTATCAGCGTCGATGCCAGAGTCGTTCTGGACAAAGGTCCTTGTCTTCTTCAGCAGGGGGGTGGAGGTGATGCCGTTCTACTCGTTGCTGCCTTCTATAAGGGTTTCATCAGCAGGCGTCTCAGATGTGGAGAAGATGGAGGGGAGAGGAGCAGAGGAGGGAGCAGAGGAGGGAGCAGAGGAGGGAGAAGGGGAGGCACTGGATGTGATGATGGAGAGGAGGGAGACTGTGGGTGTCGGAGTGGACTGAGCTCTTGCTTTCCTGTGAGAAAGAAAATAAAAAGGAGACTGTGAGGGTTTTGAACAAGTTATTGAATGAGTGAGGATAACGTGAGTAAAAGAACAACAATAAGATACTCACAAGAAATCAACAATCTTAGTTCGAACCCACGGAGCGTTGAGATAACTGCAGAAGTGACCAGACTTTGTATGAAAGCTGCAAGAATCACAAACAAATGCAACATTAGAACTTTTTGACCCAAGTTGAGCAACACGACGTTACTTTTGCTGAGCAACAGCTCAGTTGTTGGGCTCTGTGTCTGATCGACGACATGATTTTCATGTAGAGAAAAAGAAATGACTGTGTCATCCCACTGAACTGAAACACAACTGAACGCTGGATATTACTCATGATCTCATGATCGGCTTCATGAACCAGAAGAGCTGCTGCTGTGACAAATCCACCAAACTCCGTTCAGAATTGTTCATATTTTAAAAGTGTCCCGCTGAATATTGGAGATAAACACTGTTTATTTAAAGGTTCAGTGTGTAGAATTTTGTGATATCTAGTGTTGAAGTGTCATGTTGCAGCTGATCACCCCTCACCTCACCCTCTCCTTCCAAACATGAAAAAGATCCTGTGGTAGTCTTTAAAAGTTGTGTAGTTTGTTCAGTCTGGACTAATGTTAAAAAAAAACCTAGCGGCCTCCGTGGAGAGGGTCCCCTCGATGTAAATATAAAGTATTTAAATATAAACGGCCTTTTCTGGGGTAAAGAAAACTACAATTCATACAATTTAGATGAAACTAGTGAAAAAATCATGAGGATTATTCTACGTTAAATTTCTGCCAATAGATCCTTTCACCTAAATCTTACACACTGGACCTTTAATTCTAAGTCTCAGTGTGAATCTTTTAATCTTTATAAAATCTCCTTATTGACGTGTTTTTACTTACATCACAGCCTTGACACATGGGGGGGCCACGTCCTGCACCAGGAATCCTGTGATGGGCTCAAGAATCGGCGTTTTGTCGACCGTCTTACAGCAGGTTGTCAGCTTCTGAGCTGAAGATGCATGAAAAAGATCAACGTTATCACAGGAGGAAAAATCATCTGCAAGATTATAACTTGTCTCTTAAAAACTCAATCTTACCAGTCGATCCAGACTGAACCACAGCTACCAGGAGAATGGCGACCAGCGCACTTTTCACCAGGCTTCCAGAGTAGACCATTTTTGATAAATAAGTGATTAGATTTATAAATACTGAACAAAGTAATTTATTTTGCTCTGTCTTCTCCTGTCCTCTCCAGAGATCTTGGTGAACTGACAGACGTCTGAAAACATTGGATACTTAAAGGGCTGAAAAAGCGGAAGCGGTTCGTTATCTTCCTTTTTTTCTTTTCGTTCTTTTTTTTCCATCGTCTTTTTTCTGAATGAATGATCAAAATGCGGGGGTTTCCACGAAATGACCGTCAGGAAGCACTTTCATCATAAGGTTTCATTCGGAAAGTTAAGTCAAGGGTTTTCCAGTTGATCTGATAGCAGTGTTGTTGGTAATCTGTCTGTTTGAGTAGGAGTCAGAGGTTATAGGCATGTAACAACTTGTTCTATCTGTATGTTAAGTCTGACTCATTTCAAGGCCTCAGTCTGACCAAGAGCCAATTAAATCACGACAATTCAAACACACTACAAAATACGTCTTTTATACTCTTCTTACTCCTCATGGTGTATTTTTCAGTAATTATGAAATAAATCTACACAATTAAATACGGGAAGTAATTCAAAGCATTGACTGTATACAAAGAGGATTGAGGACGCGTCTCCTTGATTCTCTTGTGCACTATTATTAGAACAATATGACTTGACTGTAAAACACCTCAGAAGAGATGACTTTTCTGAGACCGGACAGTGACATGCTCAAGAAAGGAAACAGGAAATGACAGGGGGATTACACCAGCGTAAAAGCAGAAGCTTCTGCGCCCAGAACTCTTTCAGTTTTTGTGTTCTCAGACGATCTAACTATAAACGAGTTAGTGAACATATGATCAAACCAAAGCTTCTCTATTCTTTCAGTTTTGCTGGAAACCAGACTGCTGCTTCAGCACAGTCTGAGCTGAGGAGATTTTAACCAAGCGACTTGCAAATAAGGTTCTTTAATATTTATGTTGTGTTTGGTGTAGGAAAGAGGAAGCGATCTTGTGTCACATGTACATGTCACCATCAATCATGAGGTCATTCTCAGTTGTCCAAGAACCACCTGAAATGACAGAAACCATCTTTGAGAAAAATGTTGTACTTTTAAGTTTGAGTTTTGTCCATGTCCCATCTGCTAACATGGAGGCTATACTGGAGCCAGCCATCAGGGGGCGACCGAGACACTTTGGCTTCACTTGTGGGAGCTGTCATGTCATCCATCTATGATTTAATGGGATCATATGATATATTTTTAAAATGTATTTCAGGGCTTAGGGTGGGAGTGACGCAGCGGCCGGTCAGGACCTTTCTCTGTCGAGTTAGCATGATCGTATCTGTGTGAGTTTCCCCAAGGTGCTTTTCCTCCCACGATCAAAACGTGCAGGTTAGGGTCAAGTGGTGACTCTGATAATTAAATAAACAGTCTTTGCTCGGTGCAGCCGCTACGGTGCCAAAGACCTCCTGGTCACTCGTGGCCTTTATCCATCTCTCTGTCGGTGATGAAGTAGCAGCAGTTTAACTCCTCAAGATATTTCAGTTGTCGCTATCTTCTCTGTAGAATATATTAAGGCAGATGGTATTTGGTTGAACTAGGAGTGTGAATCAAATCATAAAAATGTATTTTTGTCTCTTAACCTCTAAGAATGAATTAGTTCAGTGAAATTCGACAGCGTTCTGTGGTTCAAACAGTTTCAGTGAGAAACATTGGTTTCCTCTTCCTCTCACCATGTTTAATTCGAGGCGTAGCAGAAACAGGCCGAGGAGATCGGTTTGCAGAAATTGAGATTAAATTCCCTTCTGAGGTTGTTGGTTTAAAATTTAAATAAACAAAACTTCCTTCCTGCTTTCCTTTTCCTCTTATTGCATCACACCGGGTGTTTCGGACTGGGCTTCACACGCAGATTCAACAGTTTCTTCCAGTTTCCCACTAAAGGAAAAACTTAAAAAAGCCATATTAGATTTAACCTCTGTCTGAAACATATCTCTCTGGGAACCTTAGAATTGTGAAAGATCTGTGAACAGAGGCGGAGTTGCATTCTTCTAATACTTACTTTGGAAATGATGTGTGCATGTGTCATGTCACCTTTGACCCAACAAACATTTTTAGACCTCAGTC